TGCACGCCTTCTTGATCGGTTGATGATTGGCCTCTGTCTGCTCCAGGTGGTTCAACCGCTGCTTGGAAATGAATTTGTAGTTGTTCGGGCACTCTTCCAACTTCCCTCCAACAAATGTTCTTCTCTTTCTCCTTATATAATTGCTCGTTTCGGGGGAGGATGGATCGACATAGCAGATGCCGCCCTCGGTGTTGATTTGATCGGTATCACTATAACAATAGTTCGCATCTTCTTGTGGTGTCGTTCTTCCTTGTTGCTTTGGAAAAGCATCGGAGTCATAGTACTGCTTGAAGCTCTCTTGGATCATGGAGAGAATGCCTGGTGAGTCGATTGCTGGTCGCTCCTTCTCTTCGCGAATTTGATTACTCAGCGATGGTATCTTTTCTGTCGGAGGACCAATCAAAACAAAAGAGTGCTTGCAAGAAAAACCCTTGATGTTGATGTTTATTTCAAAATCAAAGCCACCTTCCACGATACCTCGAATTCTTTCGAATATGGCTTTCTTTGCTTTCATTTGACAGTTCTTGTTCGGTGTTACAAGTCCTGAAGCAACAAGAACGTCCAAGCACTCCTTTTGGCTCAACCCAAGCAACTCGTGGAATATTCCAATATCTTCATAAGCCTTGCTCTCTTCAGTTTCACGGTAGAACAACTGAAACCAGTGAGGCTTCAATAAGGTATGTTTGAGAGCAATGAAGCTACCCGCCAGAACGTCAAATGGGCTCTGTGGCGATTCAAGCTTGGCCTGTTGTAGACATGGGAGTTTGAAGAAAGGAATATCTAGAAAATTACTTTCGTGTCCAGATTCATCATTGCTTCTTTCTGTAGTGTTTTCATCATTGCGCTGCTCTTCACTTGGCTCATCATGCATAGACGATGCATCGTCAACATCATCATCATCGTAATGGAGTTCATCGTTGCCTACTCCATGATCATCATCCTCACTTCCATTGCCGATTTCCATTTCATTCGCAACCTTCTTCCTTCTTTTCGATTGTCTCATGCTGCTGCTGCGGGATGATGGATTGCGGGGTGAAAGAGGATGAGCTTTGCATCCGTCCCTTGTGAACCAGCGTCTGCATTGATTTGAAATCGCTCCCGCGGTGTAACGACATATTGAAGTTTGGTTTGGACCCACACATTGTTTGAAATCGTTCCCGCGGGGTTTTGATGTGAGGAATGTGTTTTCAGTTTCAGATCATGTTTGCCTATTAACAATTGGTTGCATTTCCGTTGGACAATAAGTAGTTTAAAATTGATAGGACATTAATTGTTATAAAACGTGACATTGAGGCTATAAATAAAAATATATTTTGAATAGTTTCGCAGAAAACTTGAGTTAACACTCCCTCCGGAACGACAAGGTGCGCATATTTTTTCCAACATCTCATTGGACGCCATGATCCTAGTTTCGACCTTTGGAACTTCATCAAATAGTGTTAGACCTTTCAAAATAGCTTTAGGACATCGACTCGGACAAAGCACTACAACCTCACAGTATTCTGATCTGAGCAAAGTTGTCTACGTGGGACTGTGGAGACCTAGACTCTATAGGGTCCTTTTGTTCTTAGCACCAGTTTTGTTGGTATTCCTGCAGAGGCGTTTGATTGTACTTGTTTTCGCACCATGACAATGTCTCCAATTTCAAATTTCCATCACATTCTGGTTTGATTCTTGAGCATTCCATGGTGTTCCCTTCGTTTGTCATTGAGAAGTTTAAGCAGTTCTTTTTGTCTCCAGAAGAGTGGGAACATTGTCTCGATGTGCTCTAATGTGTTCTGTCCTGACGTTTGCTGGTGTCATGTCCTGTTTCTTTCTGACAGGCTTCTGATATTGACAATGCCGCTGCTGCATTGTCTAGTGGGAATTTGAAGTGTTGTGCCACTGCTGCGAATGCTTGTTGGATATCCGTGCCATCTACTGGGGCTGCATTCCATGCGTATGTTCCAAACATGGTGTTCATTGCCGATTCTTTGTATGTGTTCATGTCGGCAGCTCCGATTTGTTGCACTTTGTCAAGGTATTTGTGGAATCTTTCACATAGTATTCTGTCATGATTTTCCGGACTGACCGTGTGGTATGCAATTCCGATTGTGTCACATATGGCTGTGAATTGATCTTTGTTTTCGCTGCCTTCGTCGATGAGGATCAATTGTTGCAGGCCTCTGGAGCTGATGAATGCAACTGTGGCACAACCAGTCATGTTGCAAATGTAAGTGACTACTCCTTTGTTTGTGAGTGTCTTCCTCAAAGTTGTGGACAGTTTGGTAGCATTCTTTGTTGAACCTGGCGA